AGCCCCGGCGGGTGCTGGACAGCCTGGGAGTCCTGCGCGGTGCTGGGGCTAAGGGCACCCCAGCCCCCTGGGACGGTCGGCCGTGGGGCTACCGCAGCCGCTCTGGTGGCGAGTGGTCTTTAGGACGGGTTTTCCAGGATGAAAGCGGCCGAGAACATATTTGCAGGAGGTGGGGGTTAAATTCATAGTATTCTGAGTAAGTTTTAACGGAGTCGTGCCCCGGGGCACTTTATACTACACTTGACAATTATTGCAAAGTTGCTGTACTAAATACTTACATGTGTACATCTATACATTTTCTCAACTGATGAACTTTGAATATCTGCCTAGTGACCTACAGAAAGGTCCTGCAGACACTGATGCGCATGAATTAATTTTTACCAATGCGGGTATTTTTGGGCAAACACCCTTCTCATGTGTTGGGCAGCCTCCTCGCACACAACGCGGTCCCCGGGGCACTGGGTTTGGGCGAGCCTGTGCAGCCCCTCTTCAGGGCTGGGGCTGGGGACCCGGCTGGGACAGAGGGGAAACAAGCTACCAAATTGCCCTGGGTGGGCCAGGGAAGCGCAACTTGATGCATGCAATTGCTTCTACGTATGGTTTTACCAGCTATCTACCTCCATTTTATTTTCCAAAATATTTTTTGGAAACCTTATTATGTAAATGACACTAGTTCTCAGGCACGAGCTTATCAGCTACCTCTGGAAAACAAAGACTGGCACTTTGCTCTTTGTAAAACCCGGCTCCCTAAAGACACAGGTATTTTTCCTCTACCCCCCTGAGATTAGTGAAATACCCTTTACTATACATAAATTATTTATCCTCGTTTGCAAAATTCAGTTATTTACAATGCTATTCCCACGAACACACCTTCTTACGTCATCCAGTTACTATATTTAGAACCACCTACAGTAAAATAATTACGTGACTAGAGCAAACAGCTAGAAGGTCACCGTCAGTGTCATCAAATAGATCTGTTTAATTGCCCTTGCTGGAAGAGGGGTGGACTTCAGGAGAAACAGGGAACACCACCACCAAATCTCGGTCTCGGAGGAGTTATTGGCACTTTCAGTCTATTTTTAAATGCCACGAGTGGGTACACTAAGAGCTTTGGGGTCAGTGGAGAGACTCTTACTGACTTTTCCAGGTGTTTTAGGCCAAGGCAGTTTTAAAACGTCATAGAGAGACTTGTCTCAGCAATGCCCAGATTCATCTGAAGCAAAGATTATAATAATTCCTTGTATCTTTTATAGGTCTTTTATTTATTTGTATTGTTTCCAGGTAATATACATTATTCAAATATATTTTAACTGTGGCGTTTACAAGGCATAAAGGACTCAATAAAGCAGCATTCAGACTGAAAATTATAAAACCTCATAGCTTTGTTATGGTCACAGGTATGAAGAGAATGCAGAAATGCCAGTATCTGCCACCTCACGCAGCAGGGAAAATCTGCCCCAGCCTCCAGGCTTTGCTTCTCTGCAGGTCCCCAGCTGGGGGGGACGGGAGCCTAGCTCAGGCTCCAAACATGAAGGAATACACAAACAAGATAAAAATTATTGCTGGAGATATCCAAAAGGCTAAAATCTTAGTGAACGGTGAGCAGCGTTAGCGCAGGGACAGGGGAGCAGCAAATACGCCAAAGCATCCCCTGATAAGGGAGTCGTTGCTGCGTAAATGCCGTTGTCCAGCAGCACACACCCAGCCCTGTCCCAAAGGCAAACTGGGACGGGCCCAGTCACCTTCAACAGCCGCCAGCCACTGCGCTGGGGCACTGGAGCTGCTGCCCTCCCGGGGTATCTACCTGTGCCTCTGGCTCTTCAGGTTGGACAGGGCATGAGGTCGATTAAAAAGGGAAAACACACTTGGCTAATTCACAAAACTCCCAGTTAGTTACGACAGAATTATCTCTGTGTATTACAAGTGTTATTAAAGTGCAAAAGTGTCAAAAGCTACAGAAAACAAAAAAGAGAACTCCCAAATTGCTAAACCTATCAGCAATTATGGACTTTTTTGGTGTTTCTGAAATACGACAGGGCACAAGGCACCAACCGCACATCACAAACCCACCCAATTGCCGTGATTTTTTTTCCAGTGCTGTCCCGATTAGGAGAGCATCATTTGAAGAGCGAGCATACCAACACATGAGCTGTTCTCATTCTTTTTTATTTGTTTAAATAACATGAAGCTCCTGATGTGTCTTTAGTGTAAATTGTGTTTCTTATTGGAACTAGCTGCATTAGCTTCCATCTTGTAAAAATCCATGAACTACAGTTTCATGAGACTCCTGCCATCAGAAGGGCAAGTGCAGGCAAAATCTGACCCCTAACTCACCACAAAATTAAAGCTCACTTCTGAAGAACCTGCAGTCTTAGGAACAAATAAATGCAAAGATGAAATAACTGTATTATGGGCATAGTGCCTCGGTGAGAAAAGTCTATTTGAGACTTGAAAACACTCAAATGAGGGTGTTAAAGGACACTGCTGCATGTTGAACAGAAATATTTTCAAAAAATGGAAGGTAACATGAATGTGGAAGTGGGTGTAAGAGACATTAGATGACGTATGTCTATTGACTCAATCCTGCACTATTTAAATTAATGGGAGGTAAGAGTTTACACACAGAAGATTGTGAGCGTGGCACGCTTACAGCTGAAATCCATTGATATTCCTTCTGTGTCTGAACAGAACAGCCAACAGCCTCAGATTCTGTTGCAATTTTTTTTCAGTCTAAAGTAAATGCAAAGACTCTGAGACACCAACATGCATCTTCACTTAAGGAATTCACAAAAAGAACAGGGGGGTTGGCAGTGCAAAACAATATTCTGCTGTTTCACTTCTCAAAGCAGAAAAGCTCTCACAAGGAGAGGCAGCAGGATAATTCCAAGTGAATAATATTTCAATGGAATATTTGTGGGGGATGCGTATGGGGAAGTTTCATG